CAGGAATGCAGTTCTTGGGAAGTTTAAAAATAATGAAGTGGAGGCAGCTTTTCTGGATCGCGGTCTGCGTGGTGGAGTTGTCTGGTGAGTATTGACTGCAGCGAACACCAGGGCTGAGCAGTAGAGCAACGCCAGACGAGTGCATGGGGCAACTTGTGTATAACTCTGAAACGGCAGCCCGGGGGGATGGATTTTAAGGAGGGTTTAGTGGAGACTGCAATTTCACATCGCAGGGGCGTTTTTACAGAGCAGTACTGGATCGGTGTCCCGACCAACACTCACAGCGATGCGCTGCAAACTGAAAATGCTGCTGGTTTGAAAAGGAGGGGAATTGAGGTCTAAGAGCTCCCTATAATATTGCACACATAACACAAGGGGATGCGAGCGCAGCATGCAAAGCTGGAGAGTGCAGCCACAGTTCGAGCCGTTTCTCAGTCTGCATTGGTGTAAATTAGCCTGGCTTTTGTTTTATGGTAGGAACTAAACATTTTCTGAAAATCAAATGAATCTCCATAAATATTAAAATCTCCTATTCCAGCTCTTCAAATATTCATCATATGAAAAAGTGCATAATAATACAGAGATTTTCTCTAGGTTGTACTTTTTAAAGGGGTATATTTTAGGGAAATATTGTCATTTTTGTCCCGAGCCCAACAACCATAAAGTAATAAAAAGGGACTAAAAAAGTGAAGCAGCACTCCGTGCGCTGCACAGTGTGCTGGGATCGGAGCCAAGAACCTGCGGGTGTCTCCTCAAATGTAATTTTTCCTTACTCACATGAATGTGAGCGACTAGTTCTATTGAAAGAATTTGCTGTATTTTGTTCTTCTGTTGCACGGCGCTCCTTTCATGTTCCCCTCGCTGCCAAGGTGTATTGCTCACCGGAGCCGTCGCGCCTGACCCTCCCGTCTATGTTAATTTTACAGGCAGGAGAAAACCCAAAGCTTCTCTAGTAAAATTCAGGTCTGTCTGGTTGGGCTGGAGCGAGCAGCGCGCGAGGGTGGGAGACAAAAGTGTTTACCTGCAACGCGAAACCCAAGTTCCTTGTAGTACAAAGCAAAAGTGATGCAAAAGTGATACAAAAGTGACAAAAAGCTTTGCCTTTGTAAAGATGAAGCAACCGGGCGATGGGGGTTTTAGTTTAGAATGTCATTCCTTCTGCCGGCACAGCCGATGCTCCGCGTTCCTGTGGGGTGTTACGGGGCTTTGTGAGCACTTGCTGAAAGTGGGGGAGGTTTATTTCTGTTCAACGTAGCTGCTGTGCAGAGCAGAGAAAAAATGGGGAGCTCATCCCTGGGGCTCTGCGCGCTCTTCACCCCTTTGGGGAGTCCCAGTGGATTAAGTGAAGGTTTGAGTTGTGCAACTCCCGATGGAAATCCCACCTCTGGGGGTTGATGCTCAGGTTGGCTCCTGGCAGTGCTGCCAAGGGTGGGATGACCGGCCTCCCCACAGCCCCCCCAGGGCAGCTTCAGCTAAAACCAGGCGTTTTATAGGGGGAAAAAAACCCCTGCCACGCTGGGCAGGGTGCCGATCTTCTACATGTGTGGCCACAGCGTGGGGAGGACGGGGGCCGGGTACCCAATAGCTGCTCCTGCAGTGCGACCCCAGAGCACCACACAGCCCCGTCCATCCTCGCGGGGAGCGAAGGGCGTAGGAAATGCTCCATTCTGGGCTTTGCCCGATCCTTTGGGGACCCGCTGAGTTGCGACGAGCGTGGGAGAGGTTTACGCCCGTCCCTGGTCCGCAGAGCGGGATGATGATGATCCGGTGCTGCATGAGAACCCTCTGCCTGCGCAGCAGCGCAACGCCGCAAGCGGCTCTTGGTGGCAAAATGGGGTATTGATAAACCACGTGGAGAGCTGTCCTGGGCTTGTCTCAAAACTTACATGGAAAAGAGAGTATATATTCTATTTTTACCTAGTATATATTCTATTTGTACTTAATACAAACACTTCCTTTTTTTTTAGTCTTTTCTCTTTCTTTTTTGTATCTTTTTTTACTCATCTCTGCGAAACTTGACTTTTAAAAAACCCTCTTTTCTTGCGATTTTAAAGCATTCTTTCTTTCCTTCACTCCTTTTGCAAGACCTAGAAAACCTCTAAAAATCGGGGAAGGAAAAAGGAGCTTTTAAAACTCACAGCCGCTCGATTTTCACGTCCTTTAGAGGGCTGCGCATTGGAACTGTGCAACCCAGGAGCAACCTCAGACTCAGGGAAGGTGCTGGGCTCCCCAGGCAACCCTTGGTCCG